CTCTCTCCTATTCATCCCATCTCCATCAGCACCCCCCATCCCAGCTTTTCACCACCACCAAATTAATCCATCTTAAACTAGTAGGTTTCCTTCCATATTTTTATCCCTACTCATTTATTCCTATATGAGCAGCAGCAGATTTCACATGCACACAAATTCACTTTTCTGAACATTTTCTTAAAAATGCAATATTTTTACAGAGTTTTGCAATGCATTTCTTTCACAAAACCATACTTCCTGAAAATCCCTAACTCACTGGTATAATCTAGTTCATCCTTTCTAATGGCTGCTCAACCTTCCATGGTGTGGATGTATCATATTTTATTCAGCCACTCTCCTATGTACCGTGTTCACTTTATCTCCAGTTGATGGACACCAGGGACAGTGCTGCAATTAATCTAAGACATCAGTGGTGGATTGTGAAGCAGGCAGGCTATGAGTCCCTGGAGGAAGCTTCTCTGCATCTGGTCTTCCTGAATTCTTTCCTCCTCAGGCAGCATAGAATGCTCAGGCCATTCAGCTCCTTTTCAGCTACTTGTTGGGGGTCAGGGAGAATTGTCATATTTTGGTGGAGCCAATATCAAGCTTCTGTTCTTCAGAAGCCTACATATTTGAAAGACAAAAATCTCCCCAAGATCTGTGGCTCTCTAGTCCTCTCGCTGGCACTTGCCTATTCAAGGAGGAGGAATTCCTGCTCTGGTTTTCTCTGCCAAGACCCTCACCGAAAGCAAGGCCTTATCTGCACAAAGCAGCCAAATGGAGAAAAGGAAGAAATGCTAAGGAGAATGTTTCCAGAATCTATGCCAAGTCCATCTAATAATTTAATGCACTGCTATAAAACCTACCTAAAACTCTGATTCCAAACAAAGCTGTTCTATTGTATATTTAAAGCAGAAATGTGATGACACAAAATCATTTAATTAAAATCAGAGTAATAAAATGAAAACAATTTAGTGGAAAACTACTCAGTTCCCTGTCAAGGGCAGCTGAGGACAGGACTGATAAAGAGTATTAAACAGGCCATGCTTCAAAACATTTCTACTGCAAATGGCTTTATAACAATCAAGGACAGAATCAGAGGTCCCTCTTGGCTTCTACTACTTTATGGTGGTCATAAATTTTATGCATCCTAGGAAAAACATACATTAAAGCATACCACTCTAATTGTACACCTACTTTAAAAATTTTGTAATTTTCAAATTATTCTTTTTTGGTTCAACACAGTTATTCACTTTTTTACTCAACTTCACTGTAAATTTTGTGATTTTCAAGTCTTTCATCTAGCAGGCTACCTTACAGAATACTGAGGCACTTTAAGACAGTGATATCAGTTAGTATCATTTTGGATAATCAACTTTTGTAAAACCTGGCAGAATAATTAAATATAAATTTACTACATACACATACATTGCTTAACACCACCATCATATAATGTTATCCCTAAAAATGTTCAATATTTGACATAATATTTAATATATATTTTCCCCACAGAGTGCTGACAGGCACAGTTCAAGAAAGGGGGGAGGGAAGACAATACCATACCACCTTGGGTAATGAGCACACGGCAAAGCCAATATGCCTGTCTGCTGAGTGCACCACTGCAGCACCCCAGCTGAAAGCGGTCTGCAACATGTGGTTACCCCCTGTAGCCTACTTTGTGTTCTAGCCAGCAGTTCTGACCCACTAACGGAAAGTGTACAACAGCATTGGATCTGCTACAAATAAACAAGGACAAGTATTATTCTCGGTGCTAAGATCTAAGTTTTATGGCAGCTGAATGTGCTCTCAAGGAAACAGTCATGGAAACTGGGTAGATAGAGATAAACAGAAAATTAGACTGGGGAAAGTCCTCTGACATTATGAAAAGTATCATAAATATTATCACAGCCTGGGACAACTAACAATTAATTGACTGGCAGGTGTCATTTCATGACTTAAGAATATTAGAAAAAGAACCTGAAGTGAGTGCCAACATATCAGAATCATGTCTCCATAGGGCCTCTGCTATACCAAAACCACCCCAGGTAGGGCTGATTATCAGCATTCAAATTTTTAGGAGCACATCCCTTCACCCCGAATCACTCCCTCCCACAGGACATGTCTCTACATCCATGGAGGGAAAGAAAGAGAAGAGAGAGGGAAAATAAAATATTACCTTTTATTTTCTCAGGCACACAAGTGATTTGGGATACCAATTATCAAGACATTTTTACTGATTCACCTTTAGAATTATCTACTTTAAATCTTCAGCCACCTTAGAAAATAGTTTGCAGCAATCACTTTGCAATTCAGAAGTACCAGGTTGTAATTTAGTTCTAAGTTAACTTAGAACTAATTCCTTCCAAGGAATAAGTTAACAGTTTATGTTCAATATGTGAGGTTATCTGAACTCCTGAGTTTTAAATATCCCGTGGAACTGTGATCTCTCTCCCTTCTTAAATGGCTTTTCAGCTTAAAGTAATCATCTTTAGAAAATTTCTATCCTAAACATTTTTTTTTTTTTTTGTCTTTTTCTTGTGTCTGGCAACGGATCGCAACCCTCAGTGTCGCGCCCGTACCGGACCGGGACCGGCAACGGGATCGCAACCCTTCGTGTTGCTCCCATACCTCGCTCAGCCAGTGAGCGGGAACCGGTCTGTATGTGGGATCTGAACCCTCGGCGGGAGCGCCATCGCGCTCCCAAGCGGCGCACTGTAGCAGTGCGCCACCGGGCCGGCCCCTAAACATTTTTTTATAACAAAAATCAGCAACATCCAATCTAAACAGTGTTATGCTGACCATCACTCTGATACAGTGAGTAGCCTTGGGCTGAAACAAAATTCCACCTCCAAGGCCATCAATCTAGATCAGTACTGTCCTTCCTGAGGTCCACAGAAACCTCTTTTCTTCTCTGCAAATACTGCTCAGCCATGAACAGCATCTAAAGATTTACCCCAAACTAACCTGGTACATACCTACTGACTTTCTCAAGCATTCTAAACATGGGCCCACAGCTAACAAATATTGGCATATGTAAGTCACAGCATCTTCTCCAAGAAAAGTTCAAATCAGCATTGCACATTAACATACATAGTAATGCTGGAGATGTGCTTGCACCTACACCACTTAGCTCAATAACAGCAAGGGCAGATAAAAGTAACTACTGAACTTAATGGCTTCACAGGAGCAAAATGTTTTACAGTCATATTCTTGACCCTATCAGGGGAAAGCCATCTTAGAAGGGTTTGCAGCTGGTTACAATGTACATCAAGGGAGAGTATGGCTGGTTCTGAATAAAACCACAGTCATTTCTGAACATAAACTCAAAATGCACATTCTATTGGCAGATTTAGTTATATTATTTTTGCAAACCAGAATACAGATTTCAAGTTATTTCACAAAGCAGATAATTAAATGAAAATGGACATGAAAGCACATAGTAAATTACTATATACACATTTTTAAAAAGAATTGCTATTTTAAAATAATTTACATAATAAAATTTGGCAAAGAGTAAACAAAACCATCAACAATAAATGAGAAATATGAAAAACTTGGGGAAAGACCCAAGGACTTAAAAATAGAACTTATCTTTCATCAGATTTAGAAATTAGGTGTATTGTATGCTTTTGTAAATGTGCATAAAGCAACTTAATGCTGCACTTAAACAGTCTGATAAATCAGAAACATTTCATTTCAATAAATATACATGACTAGAGGCATTTTATAAATATATGTTGACTGGAGGCAATATTTGGGCAACATATAAGTTTCCTGTAGAAATGTGTTGCTGCCATAGACCTGGGATGTAGGGTTAAAGATGGCATGACTAAGGCATGGTAGTGCTTTGCACAATTTATACTGAGTACAACCTAAAAAACAGCAACTAAATTCACCCATCAATAGCATGACTGTAATGGACTGTTCTGAGGCTGAAAATGCTGAAGAAAAGGAAAACCAAAGCTATAGATTAGTTTTTCAGAAATAGTCAATTCATACTATTTTAATGGAAAAAATGATTTATTATATAAAATTATGATTGGCAGAATACAGAAAAATTATTTCTCTTTTACCTTTACATATTTATTACAAGTACCAAGCAAAGTTTAACAACTGGAAGAACCCATTACAAACTACCAATAGGTATTCATTTGGTGAAATTATTCAAGTCACAAATGCTAAGTAAATAAACGCACTTCAAAATACATGAAGTGTGAAGCAAATATAAAAAAACAGTGGTGTTAAGGGCTGGCCAGTTAGCTCAGTTGGTTAGAGCACACTTTGTAACACCAAGGTCAAGGGTTCAGATCCCCATACCAGCCAGCTGCCAAAAAAAAAAAAAAAAGAAAAAGAAAAAGAACGAATTATTCCTTTAACAAAAACTAACCAATAAGAGAAATACAAGAAAAATGCTGTCATGTCAGATGGAAAAAAAATAAGCCAAATGTATTGCTCATTGGGATTGTTAAACTAAACTCATTAAAAAAAAAAAAAAAAAAAAAAAAAAAAAAAAAAAAAAAAAAAAAAAAAAAAAAAAAAAAAAATAAAAAAAAAAAAAAAAAAAAAGGATTCAAAAAAAAAAAAAAAAAAAAAACTATATAGGTAATTTAGATTTAAAAAATAATAAGTTTTCCAATACTATATACATATATTTTCTACCTATAATAGAAGGAAGGATTTGATGACCAATTATGTGTTGTTGATCTAGGTGCCTATCAGAGCATTTGCACTGAAGGTGTCCTTAGTATGGGCACATAAATGAGCTTCACTGTTACTCAAAGGTGAGAAATCTTATGAACTATTAAGGAAAGGAAAACAATTATACCTGAATAGGGCAAAAAACCAACACTTTAAAATCAAATTTATCTCTGTAATAAGACTGGAATAATCTGCTTCCAAAGAGTTCCTTTGCACTTCAGTAAATCCGGGCAAAAGTTGTACCCTAATGAAAAGGCAAATGTGAAGGTCTCTGATAAGTTGGAATCTTCATAGCAAAAAAAAAAAAAAAGAGAGAGAGAGAGAGAGAGATAGCTACCCTTGTAAAAAAAAAAAAACTCATTTCACAATTAAACTGTTTTAAAAATAAAGATGATAAATGAATAATACATGTTATATGAATAATATGCCAAATTATTGTATTCTGTAGTCACGAGTGCTATTAATACACTTGATTCATGTTACAGAGAAAGAACTGAGACACTTAATTTCACATTTCAGAATTCCTGAGTCTTATCAGAGAAAAACAAGTACTAAAAAAATAAATGAAATAAACCTACCTATAGTAGGGCAAATAATACAAACTTGGGCATTAAGTTAATATCATATTCATACTTTTAAAGCTGAAGACTATGGGAACAAATATGCATGTACTTTAATGGAATTATAAACATGATTTTAAAGCTTGGCTTTTTAAAAAGGCGTTTTGATCAAACAAGGCCACCTGAGTGACATCTTCAATGATGGTAAGCCCACCATTTTAAAGGAATAATATCTTTATTTCAAAGCCTAATTATTAATATAAAAAGGAAAAAAGGTTATTTTAATAAAATGTTTTAGTAAGGTTGCAATGGGACAGCCCTTTGATGAAAGATCTAAGGAGGATAAAGCCAATATAATCAATTAGAACACAAGTTCTAATTTTGAGCCAACACCCACTAAATAATTTCCCTTTTGCTTTGCATATTACACAGTGAAAATAAAAAGGTATCTTAAGAGCACTTCAGTCCCACGATGTAGGATTTAAGCTTGTGTGAATAGGTGTGAATGGCCTTGCAACAAGGTGATGCTTGCAAACTACATTCAACTAAAAGTTAATGTCTGTTTTCTAACAGGTAAGGAAAAGGGAAGCGAAGTGGTCCCACTTAAAACAATAAAACAAAATAAAACACACTGTTTATCCTTTCTGGAAATACTACCAAAGCAAAGAACATACAATAACATTGTACATTTAAAACTGCATAATACTACTCATCTTTACAAGTAGGAAAGATGCATAAAACTATTAACGGACTTTATAAATAAAGACACTAAGTGGAAAGAAATATTTGGGTTATTTCTCTGTTCATAAGTACCCAGAAATAAACAATTAAAAAACACTAAAGTGCAGACCCATAGGCCAATACAGGCATGATAAAGAGGTGCAGCCAAAATTGCATCTATGTTTACACTTACATATCCAGAAAATGATTCTTGCTTTTACAAAATTGTGCAATTTAAAAACTAGTCAGTTTTGTTTGTGCCGTAATACAATTAGAACTTGTTTCTGTCCACTAGTAAAGTGACTGCTAGACCTCGGACAGCACACTAGGCTCTTGACAACCATACGTTTCATTAGAATCATACAATATTAATTCCACCTCCAGAAAATGTTAGGGTCCTCTTGTAGAATGAAGAGCCACTGGTATTTGGTTGAATGCCTTTAACCAGAGAAGTTTTCAGTTCCATTTCGCAAGCTACAATTGCTGCATTCAATTCCACTTGAGCTCGATGAACTACATAAAACATGAGACCTATACTTATAATAATCTGTGAATAAAAATAAAATATTAGGTATCAATATTTAACACGAAAAAAGAGAAATAAATCCAGTAAGTATTTGGCTTAGAAATGCTTCAAACAGGATACTTCTCAAATATGGTAGGTTAAGAGGCTATACATTTTTAAGTAGTTTACACACAGTTACCATTTATTCTTTCCTTTGCTGCTTCTCCAAGAAGTGGAGGGCCAAAGCCTATAGATAACCATTATATGGTATCAGGTAAAAAAACAGTAAACATACATCCCTTTGGGTCTATTTACATGATGTTTGCTTGATACAAGTCAAACTTATTCCTTGTACCAAAAAGCTTCTTTCAAGGAACAAAAAATGTCACAATAGAAGTAACAGCTGGCTAAACTTGGTAGTATAATTGATGTAGTATATCTTTGCACAACTATAAATGTCCATAAGTACTTCTATATCCACTTAAAAAGAAGTACTACCATTTGCAATGAACTATCTGGTACAGACAAAATTAAAAGTATTAAGGATCACTTAAAAAATGAAATGTCAATAAACCTCAAAAGAAATCAACAGGTGATTGTGAACATAAAATTGTACTTAGGGAAAAACAAAAATGTGATGATGATTTAAAAAAAAAAAAAAGCCAGTCAGAGGGATACTAGAAAAAACATCAAACTAAATGTCAGGTTTCTTGTCTTGGTTTAGCCATCCACTTGTGATATGATTTCAGGAAAGTCTTCAGATCAGTAGCAAGATGGGATCTCTCTGTGCTTTCACATTCTACATACAATTCATCATAATGTCTAAGCATTCCACATCTTCTAAATGACTTTTATTCCAAAGTTCATTTGTAAATCAGTTCTTTGGAGTTTGCAGCAAATTTAGCAGTTGTTGCTTAATGTCCCAGCAAGTTTACAAAGGCTGCTCTAACCAAAAGTGACCCTAAAACACGAGGGTACTTCAAAAATTTCAATGAAAACTATGTATTATCTTTTAATTCTATTTTTACACAAACTTTTTGAAGTACCCTTGTACTTCACTGTTGCAGTTAATCCACCCATACTTATAATCTTTATAGGAAAAGTATTTTACATCCAAGTGTTGAAGGTAGCAGGAGTAGGGGTCGTAGAAGCAGAGAATACTGGGGGGTAAGATAGGGAGAAGAACTTAGAACTTGTGCAAGGGGGTGTTACTATTACATGAGTACCCATCACTCAATAAAATTCTAAGTTAAACAGGTATTTTAAAGATGGATCTTTAAATCCTGTAATTGTTCTCTAATATATTCATTCTCTTAAAAGAAGCAAGACATACTTACTGAAAACTCTTAAGTTTGATACTTATCAGTAGAAGGTAACAACATGTGAATAGAGGGAGAAAATGTTAGAGAACTGATTGGGGAGGTGTGTGTGTGAATGAGATGCTAAATGCTTGTCTAAAACATACCAAATTTGAGGTGCCTATTATACATCCAAAACAGTTCAGTGAATGGGTTTGAAGCTATGGAAAGAAAGCTGTGGTAATGATGCATACCAGGGGGTAGGAGGGATGTGGTTTGGAGACAAACAAATGTATTTGCAGCCACCACAGTAACTGGATTTGCAAAGAAAAAAGTTTTCAGAGACTAAAGAGCACAGGCTAGCATCTTCTGAAATACTGATTTAAGGGGTAAAAGGAAGATGACAAGCATAAGCCAGGCAAGTGGGAAAAAAATCACGATAGTGATATCAAAGAAACTAAGGGAAGGAAGTGTTTTACTAATAAAGGCATGATGATAATCTTAGGCTGCTAAGAGGTCAAGCTAGATGAGAACTACTGGAAAGTGCATCTGATATAAACAAGCAAGGTTAGTGGTGACCTTAAAAAGAGCAGCTTGAGGGAAGGATGTGGCAAAGCCACAGACATTTCAGACTCAGTGAAAAATTTTTTCAGCCTCCCAGCAAGAGTGAACTGGCTACATCTTTACCTGGGATTTTCCCCAGGCTTCCCTTCTGGACCCCAGAGTCTGACAATTTGGGATAGCCCTCCCCTAACACACCCTCACCCTCTTCCTTAGCCTAGTGCAGTGTTTTTAAAAAAAGGATAAAAAATGAAAAATGGAAGTGTAGACAACTGTTTTAAGTTCTCCTACTAAAATGACATGAAAGAATCAAACACAGGCAGGACAAGCCTCTCACACAGAAAGACAGGTGTCTCTTCCTCTGTTAACTGGAAAGCAGGCCAAGAGTATGAGCAGGAACACAAGAAGGTTCATAGATTTCTCAGATGGAAACTGAGGGGTTTCCCATTTGAAATCATCTGATTCTTCTGTCCTTTATTTCTAGGTAATAGCAGAGCAGTAAGAAGACAAAAAAAAAACCGGCTGGGATGTGGGGTAGTGTTGAGAAACCAGTGAAAGTTTGCAACAATGAACTAAATATCACCAATCTGCTTGGGTGTATAATCTCCCCCCAAAACAGGTGCAAAGATAAACTCGGCCTTAAACTCAGCCTTATCCAGGATTGGGGTTTTGACTGTTGGGTATATAGAAAAATATAGGGCATGAAAAAAAGTTAACTAAATAGACCAACGGAATCTAAGTTAGATTTTAGTACAAGAAATAGTTGTGGTTTCTTCCGAATACATATTTTGTATTGCTTTAATTTTATTGACACTGGATTCTCTTTAGACTGATGGCTATAAAGCTCAGAGGCAAATTTGCAGCTCGCTTCTAGCAGATGAGAGGAAACTCATGAATACTCTACTAACTTTAACCTAAGTCTCATCTTTTTTTCTATGCTAATTTTCCCCTTCAAGATGACTTCTATCACCCTTCTTATTCTTGTGTATATATTTTGTAAGCTGCAAACACTTCCTAAAACAAATTAAGCTACACCACCAATAATTCAAACCAAAGTATAAATATGTCTTCACTTTTTTTTTTTTTTCCCTTCATAAAAGCCTAGGTTTAAGAATATGTGCTTCCCTCTCCCCTGCCTCCCTCTGGTCTTGTATCCTAAGCTTAAATTTGCCAGCTCAAAGGGGTAAGAAATCACTGGATAAAAGATCTATAGTTTAAGAAAAACCATAAACTCCAATAAATATAGTTGAATAACTTACTAAGATGCATAAAAATATCAAGTTTCAAAAAGTGAAAATCTGTAAGCTCCTGATAGAGAAATTCTAATTACTCAAACATAATGTCAAAGGAAAAAGAGATGTTTCAAATAGATTACTCATTTTCAGGAAACTAAAAAAAGCATAAAATATGCTTAAATTTATACTAAAAAAATCTGAGAATGCAGTGTACATCAGCATCTTACAATACCTTAGGATGATCATAAATATTATTACATATATTATACTATAGATATAATGCATAAAAAGTTTAACATTTTGTGATTAGCATGCTATATTAATACAAATAAACCAACTATAACAAAAACTCTAAACCTAGATTCAGGTTACATAAAAAAATATAGCTCTGGAAAACAATTAGAAGAGAAAAATAAAAACTGACTCCCTAAATGTCAAAAATATTACGAAATTTTCTTAAAACAAGCCCTTTTATTGACAAGTTTTATTTAAGCAATACTCCAATGCAAATATTCCTGGACTTACTTAATGTTTCCTGTATACAATTTAAAGGCCCTGAATAAATTTGTCTACATAGCAGTATTTTCCTCTTTTATCAGCCTTTATATGAAATTATATGTGCCCCAAACTATATTACAATTTGCCACATAATAATAATCCATCACACAAATCTTATTTGGATTTGTAATGGAAAGCTTTAGAAATTTTTTATAAGGCAACACTTTTTAAAACAAATTTTTTGTTCTACTGTACTAAAAAGATATTTATATTGCCAGTAAAACTAATGCTCTAAAAAATACAAATAGAAGTGTTTCAATAATTTGAAGATAAAGATAAAAACTCAACTCCACCAAATCTCACTAAAATTATCTTCAGAAACATAGTATATTCACTTCACACAAAGTCAAAATACAGTATTTGATTTGTGAAGACTGAAAATAACCACTGCAAAGAAAACCCTATTTTGTCATTCCTTTTTTTTTTTTGCCTATTTAAGAGAATTTTCAGTATCAATCCAGTTCTACACATTTCCATATATCCACACAATTAAAAAAAATTTGATGTGAAAATATAAAGTAGTATTGAAAGAACAAGAAAAGATATAAAAAGGAAAATTCTTTTTCAATGACCTCTGTTAGGTTTCAATCAGCAATGCAATACAAAAAGAAAAAAAAGAGATAAAAAGAAACAACCCTTGGCTTTAAACTCACCTGTAAACAAAAAACAAAATATCCACTAACACTCTGTTCTGCAATGACATCTTCCATTGTCCGCAGGGTGGTACCTAAGTAAGAGTTCAGAAGCTGGGTAGGAAGAAGTCCAACCGAAGATGCCATCAGATAGTTGGGTAATGAGAGATCAGTAATCTAGAAGGGTAGATTAAAGGGAATGATTCATTACCAAGTAAAATTTCAACTCAAAGGAAAAATGTGTGTATAAGTCTTGCTAGTGGTTTTCCTTGGGAGTGGAGAGAACTGAAATACTTTACAAAGCATTCTGACTCTTAAAAATGATTATAAAGGGAATACATGCAGAATACAGATTTAAAATGAAATAAAAGTTTAAAGAAAATTTTAGTATTCTATTATTCTACCACTGAAAGATAACATTTGTGACTAGTTTTTCTTTCATGTAAACAGAATCCATACACAGATCACTTTGTAAAAACAGGTAAGTCTTCCTTGTGACATTATTCTTCATAACCATTCTTAAATGTCAGTATGGTCACTGGGCTTTGACACCAGATAACCCTAGAATGCATTCCGGTGCTGAGAACTTAATGAGCTACTCTGTCACTCAGTATCAGTTCTTTCATCTGTAAAATGAAAAGAACCACCACCTTACATAGTTATTGGGGTCAGAAATACCTGTAATATACCAAGGAAATGCCCAGCATATAAACTGACCTCAAAAAAGTTAGAAATTATTATGTAATTATACTGCCACTGTGGGATACAGCACAATTTAACCACTCCTGCTGTAGAACATTTACATTGCCTCCTTATTTCTTTGTGTATATGTAATTATTCAATTATTTTTTGCTATTATTAAAAAACAAAACTATGACAAAAAACTTTGTATATTAACCCGGGTGGTAGGCAGCATCTAAAATATTCCCAATGACCCCATCTGCTTGTATTCATGACCTTGTCTGACCCTTTCCCCTAGAGTGTGTGCTGGACCTAGTGCTTACTTCTAGCAAACAGTAACATCTCAGCAAAAGTGACGAGATGTTACTTCCAAGATTAGGTTACAAAAATAGGACTTCCATCTCTTCCTCAAGCAGGCAAGCTGCGATGCAGTAAGTAGCTCTATGGAGAGGTCCATGTGGTAAGGAACTAATGCCTTCAGCCAAGAGCTAGCGAAGACCTGAGGCCTGCCAACAGCCACACAGGAAAGAGTGAGCCTGGAAGCGAAGTCTCTTCCAGTCAAGCCTTGAGATGACTGCAGCATTGTGAGAGAGCCCGAGTCATAGGCACCCAGGTAAGTTTCACAGGGACTCCTGATCTACAGAAATAGTGAAACAGTACATGTTTGTCTTAGGCTAAGTTTTGAAGGGATCTGTTATACAGCAATAAATGACGGATGATGTGTATCTCAGTTACTTTAGGATAGATCATTAGGAGTGGAATCACTGGCTCAAACAGTAAAAATTGCTTATTTTCCCAAAATGTTCACACTAATTTACACATCTGTAATACATGTGAATCCATTTTATCATACTGTTCTCAACTTCAAATATTAAATTTTAATCTTTCCTAGTTTGATAGGAGTAAAAATAATGTTTTGTCATTATTTAAGAAGTACTATTTTAATTTATATGGAGACTAGTTTTCTATAGATTTTTCTTTTGCATTTCTTTATGGCTTTATTCACATTTGCCCTTTTTATTGGAATGTTAAGTGTTTTTCCTATTTATTCATAAGAGCTCTTTACATATATATAAAGGACAACCTTTTGTCAGGACAACCTTTTGTCTATTACAAGTGGCTTATATTCTCCCCTAAGGCATCCCAAGGTGATGCCTTAGGGGAAAATATATATGCCACATATAATTTTATGTTTTGACATACAAATGTTTCTATATTTTTTTGTAATCAATTATCGATCTTTTCCTCTGATTTTTCTATTGTTTTTATCTTTGAAAGTCTTTTTAGACTCTAATGTTAGTTTTTACCAATATATTTTTTTCTGATTATGTTTTCCTTTTTAGTATTTGTCCCTTAGCCTTTCTGGAGTTTATTCAGATTAAAGGTGAGAATATAGCCTTATTCCTCTCTTTTTCCAACAGCCAGTTTTCCTAGTAATACATATTAATCAATGACTTCTTCACTGACTTGTGATGTTTACATCATTATAAATGAAGTTATTGTATACGAAAGGGTGTGTATGGGGCTCTAATTCATATCTCAAACCTTGCACTGAGGCCAAATCATAATAAAGACTATCAGTTAATATCTAGCAAAAAATTTCCCATTCCCTTAAAACCTCTTCTTACTCCTCTTTTTTAAATTGCCATAACTATTCTCACCTATTTATTCTTACAGATCACTCAAGAAAGAAAAAAAAAAAACAGTAAATTCTATATTAGGATTTAGATAAATTTGCAAATCTGATAGAGCTGAAAATCTCTACAATATTCACTATTCTTATCTAGAAATGTTTCTATAATTACCCCAAATCTTCTTTTACACCTCTTACTAAAGTTTGGTAGTTTTATTTACATATACTATGCATTTCTTATTAGTTTATTTCCAAGCATTTCATATTATTGTTATCACTGCTATTAATTTTGAGAATAACTTTTTCATATCCTCATTTGGGTATTACTGGTATGTAAGAAAGCTATTTAACACTTCACTGAACTTTTTTACTAACTTTAAGATCTGGTATTTTAATCAGCTCTGTTACTCTATAATTACAATCTGACCTAATAATCATGTAAATCATATTTTCCATAAAGCTACATTCATCTCTACTCACAAATGATGAACTGGAGATGCACCACTGCTGGTTTGGAGAGAATACTGCAGCAACTGGTTTTTAACAATTTTCCTTATCAATTGATTCCTGACTCAGTAACTACCCATTCAGGATGCTCTGATGGGTGCTTAAAAGAGAAAGTAACACACAACACCTACCCTCCAAGGATTTACACACTAACAAGCGCACACCAACTACTTTAGAAACAGGCAGAAAGGGAGCCTTAAGAAGGACTATGTGCAGAGCATTAAAGAAGGATTAAAATTAGTTGTAGGAGTAGGAACCAAAGGGCAACTTTGTGGAAAAAGAGGCATTTAAAATGGACACTGAAAGCTACATGTGATTTGGCAGGCAAAGACAGGTGTGATGAGGAAGGTAGGTGTTCCAGGAAGAGAATGAATAAGGACAATGTGGCAGGGAAAGTACAGGATGTATTACTGAATTTGGAAGTAAAGTTTGGATTGTTTATAGGACACATGCAAGGGAATCCGGTAAAATAAAGACAGGAAAAGTAGCTGGGGTGATTTTTGTTAGGGGCCTTGGATGAAAGAGGATGGAGCCTGTACTCAGAGGAAAAAATTACTGGGGAGTCTAGTGAAGGAATGGTATAAAAGGAACTAAGCCTGAGGAAGGTTCCTCTGTCAGTTTAGTGCACTTACAAGAGCAGAGAACTTTCTTTAGAATAAACATGTTAAACATAAAAAGTGAGTTAATATGACAAAATGAACCATAAAAATTACTACATTGTAGTAATTTTTCATAAACATCACATATTATGAATCTTTAAAATAAATATTCAAGTTATAAAATGTCAGAATACAAAGTCAGTCCATAGACTTTGAATGTAATGAAGTTTCTCTAAAGAGAACACATAATTAACATTTACAGACAATATCAATAATATCTGAATAAATCTGAATAAACCTGAAACAATTCACTCACTCAACTCTTTAACACGACTATTGTTCAGTGCATAAATCGAAGTTTATCAAACCTTTCATGACTGATGGGAGTTTGGATGTGTTGTCCCCTCCAAAACTCGTGTGGAAATTCAATCTCCAATGTGGCAGTGTTGGAAACTGATTGAGTCATGGGGGCGGATCCCTCATGAATGGATTAATGCTCTCCCTGAGGGAGGAGGGATTAATGAGTGAGTTCTCGCTCTATTAGTTCCCACAAGAGCTCGTTGCTTAAAAAGACCCTTGCACCTTTTCTCTCTCTCTTGCTTCCTCTCTCGCCATGTGATCTGCTTGTACCTGCCGGTTGCCTGCCACTTTCTGCCATGAGTAGAAGCCTGAGGCCCATGCCAGATGCAGCTGTCCCAGAATCGTAAGCCAAATAAACCTCTTTCCTTTATAAATTACCCAGTCTCAGGTGTTTCTGTTATAGCAACACAAAACAGACTAAAACAATGACCAAACCTCATCTTAGAGAAAAAGTGTTTTTATATATATTCCCTTTCTGAAAAGCTGAGTATATAAAGAAGTAAAAAAATTTTATTCTAGTTAATCATGGGAAACAGTTTTGCTGGAGTGTTCAATCATTTAACCAATGGAGTAACACAATAACATACACACAGTTTTTAAACTATTAATAACTTTATTAAAGATAAACAGGTACCAAATTATTTTAATATTACATTTCCTATAGGCCAAAACCTACTCAGAATCTCCATCTGGCTCCAGTTTTCGACAAACACAATTTAGAATACTTGTTCCCACAAAGAGACCCACCCAAACACCTTTCTCCAGTAAGCCTTCACCCACCAAATTTTTAAAAATATTCCTCCTTGTTCTACTTTCCAGAATGACACTAAACATGAGCCTTGAGCAATCCCACTAGAATTCCTGTCTACAGTACTCTGGGATTCTGGCTCAGGAGTTGTCTTACAAATCCAAAGAACCCCTAGAAACCTCAACCTCGGATATCAGTGTTTCCCTGTTGGGTAGTTTCTATGATCAGATATACTTCAGTGAGTTTCAGGGATGACCAACACCACCTAATCGCCATATTCTCGTGCTTTTAAAACCTTAGAAGCACTATAAAATTATATTTACTCTTATTCCCAGAGGTACTGTGATTTACTTAAAAATGCAATTCACTTATCTGGGTCAGTAGGGGTTAATGTGGAACACTGCATCACCAACATACCAAACAGATCCTGAAAACAAAAGGGGTGGGGGAGAAGAAAGAAAAAAAAACCTTAATTCTGAGGCACAAAAGCTGATTTGCTTCTGAACTGGGGCATTTTTGGAGCTGACAAGAAGAGAGCCTCAATCTTCAGATCCATGGCTGGGAGGCTCACGGAGCCTGGGGCCTGCTGTCCTCTCACTGGTGTCTTCTCATGCACAGCACAAATCACGGCTCCACGGGCAACCCCACC